AATGATGCTGGATTAGTGATGGCCAACCTGCATTTCATAATGTAAGATAAATGGTAGGTGTTAGGTTAGGTTGTATATGAACAGAATATTTTCCATTTCAACTAATCTAATACAAGTATTTTAAATAATTTAATTATCATGAGAGAATGAACAATTTGTGGCATTATGTATTCAGAAATCTCTCTTAAAACAAACTGTATACATATCTGTCTTTAAAGCTTCTTTTTTTAATTCCTTTCAATGAACAACACACACAATTATGTTTTAGGTAGATATCTCACTATAAAAGACGTAAGAATGTGTAATTACTGCTTAATGTATTTATATAGGTCTGTATTAACTTTTTGTAGGAAAGGGAGCAAAGCTCTGCTCATTATGTCCCTTCATTAGCATTTAATTTATCCTCTAATTATTTTTCTCCTGGTATCACCTCTGACATACTTCATAGCTATAGCCTCTTGTTCTCCTTGTTGATGGAAAATCTTCATCAATATTTTATCCTATATGTAGTTGCTGTCTTTTCGTTTTTACCAGGAAATATAAGCACATATCTAGCGCCTTTCAGCCTTTTTTGTCAGTTCATATTTTCTTAACTCTGGAACTTACTCTGCAGCTCACCGTTGGACTTCTTAAGTGGAGAGACGATACCACCATTGCATGTTCCAACTTTAGTGTATGTTGCAAATAGCATTTTTTTCACTCAAAGGAGTGTTCAGTTAAATGTTCTGTCAATGTTGACTCCCAGGTCTTCCCTGATGCCTTCAATATCTTATCACACAATATCTATTTCAAAGCACTCTTCTATATTGTAATGAATGGTTTGAAAAACCGACAAGTTGTCGGTTTTTCAAACCATTCATTACAACTGTCAGACACAGCAGCATCATGGGATCTTGTTACAAAGAATTCTTCAACACTTGTTCAACCTTTGGACGAAGACCTACTTCGACTAGTGGATGGTACCACTATGACCCCGCCTCCGCCTGCTTCACCTCACATCTCTACAGTATATAAGCCACGTCTACGGCCCTATGCTGTACATTCTACAAGATTGATGGACTGAACACATCGACTCCAGGTTGAGGGACTGATTACCTCATTCTCCTCCTCTCCTTACGCCTTCTTTGTATTGGACTGATGAAGCCACTGCGTGGCGAAACGTTTCCTGAATAAAGATTCCCATATGCTGCATAAGTGTCTCAATCTTCCACTCTTCTATATTAAATTTCATCCATCTATCATCTTGCATGCTCAACTATTCAGGTTTTCCTGCTGGGATAGTCATTTCTATGGCTTACTAGTATTAATAACTGTACATCTGCACTTGTGTTGACAGATTTAAACTGCTATTGACAAAGAACTCATACAAACTAGAAACATTATCAGAGGAAAAGATTTTCACAATACATGTTAGGCCAAAACTGGAATATGCATTAGTAGTGAGGTGTACATAAATTTAAGAGTGAGCATAAATCAGAAATAGTCCAAAGATGAGATAGAAAAATGACTATCAGAGTTAAAATGTGAATTACAAAGTAAGGTCAAAAAGGGATATATTAAATTAATAGCTTTTCTTTGCACTATCAACAGGGAGAAGCAGCAGCTACAGTCAAAAACAAAAAAATAAAAATTAAGAATAGATAACTAGATAAGGTAGAACATATTACAACCACCAAAACATTTTTGGAAAATTATATGACAGACTAAGCACTGATGGCAGGACACCATAAAAATAGCTCTGCTCCTATAGCTACAAAAAAAAAAGTAATGGCAAATACATCATCCAAGGTTTGAACACTGAAATGTAATGACAACCAGTCAAATAGAGAGGATAACCTGTATAGAGAAAAAGGCAGAAGAACAGTCATCACTGTAGTCGTGTACCATAGTTGTCTGTAAACAGACAATAATTTCTCCTGCCTTTGTTTCTGTGTGGGTTACCTCTCTCATATCACTGGGTAATTACAAATAGATCATAACTTAATCAACAAAACTACAGTAGGATCCCCATATCCACAGATTCAGTACCCACAATTTCAGTTATCCATGGTTTACCATGACCAAAAAAATAACCCTTAATTTTGCTTAATAATGAAATGCTTTCCGTCAGAGAAAAAGTGCTAATTCTTGACTTCTTTTGCTTAATTTATCAAACTTTATTACAGGTGCATATGTAAAGGAAAAATGAATGGTATATAGGCTTCACTACTATCCACAATTTCAGGTATCCATGGTACGTCTTGGAACATATCCCCTGTGAAAACAGGAGGACTGCTGTACATTTATAATATTGAGAGGCATAAATGCTTGTGTTTAAATGTAGTCTGAAGTATGCATTAAAAATTTTATTAATTAAAATGCCAATAATGCCAATACTGAAAAGACTAATAAAATATGATAAGTAAAGCATAAGATATATACCATTGTGTAACTAACTACCAGTAGTAAACTATTGTGAGTATCTAGCATATCACTGAGCACACAAATGAGTACCTACCATTGTGAGTAAACAAATGAGCATCTATCTAGTACACTATTGTGATTATCTAGTATACCATTATAAGTACCCAGTAAACTACTGTAGGTATTTATTACAATTTAAGTACCTAGTACAAGGTATAAAAACAATATGCAGAAAAGAGCTTTACTGGAACTCTGTTTTGCTCACGGTTAATCTTTATAATCATATAGAGGATACCTTTTACCCATATATTTAGAGAGAGCATGCTAAAAATCATATGTCAGGTGATGAAAATAAAGTTAGCAGAGCACTGCAATCGACTTATTGGTCCATTATGATAAATTAGACACTTGTAATGCTTGGGTATCTTAATAAAGATATTTGTTTTGTACATGTGTCTAATTTATCAACTTGTCAGTTCTCTGAACCATTTATCTACATTGGTCCATTATATAGGTTTGAACTGTTGTTGGATTTTTTGGGATTGAATGTTTTCCATGTAAGGAAATGTATGGCAAGGGTTTTGTTGGACTGAAAGCACCCAGATTCTGTTCCATATAATTGGCTGTACTGATGACTGCTGATTCCAGGCACTATCTTCTGGTTTCATCCCCTTCTTTAATAAGTGTAGCATCCTTCTATGCCCTGAGGTGTACATGCTTGTTCCAATGAATGATATATGCATTGTGATAAGGCTCCAGCAAGCTTACTGGTGTTCCTGAATGCTGGTGTCTAGGCTCATGACGTTTCTATGTATTATTTATCACACCCTGCTAGAATGGTATACACACCAGCAATGAACCTAGACACACAACCAGGTGGCAACAGTGTTAGTTAACACACAAGAAATGGTACAGAGCTTACAGAGCTTAAACATTAGAATTTAGGATCATCTTGTAGTTCTACAGCTTTGAAGCCAGGGTTCAAGCTATAGAACTAAGGCTTGAGCTCAGCTTACTCTGATTAGGTGTAAGTGGTAAATTTGGGCCTATATATCAGAGAATACATCAATGTGGTAGGTGTGCACCACATAAAACAAATACTACAGCACAGTAAATAATGAGGAAAAAACTGACCATATTTTTGGATTAAAACGGCAACTTTGCGGTGTTTTTTGTATGTTTCTTTTACAGTTGTATTCCTGATTTCTTGGTCTCATTTGATAGAAAGGAAGATATATTTCAGAAATAGAGATGATATTGATTGGTTTTAGTACTGAAAATGGCTTGAAACTGAGCTCAAAGTAGCGGAAATGTTCAATTTTTGTCGATGTTCAAGAGTAAACAAAAGACATCATGCATCTAATACAAGTCAGCTGGTGGGTCTATTATACGTTCACAAATATGCTGATATTATTTATACAATTATTACAATATTGCATAAGAGTAAATCTTCTATTTTTTGATGTGAATAAAAAATAAAAATGGAATTCATTTGTAAAGCCTGAAAACGTAACTAATAAACAGAGGAAATGTTAGTTTAGTGCCAGGAATGTCTGCATTGTTTATTCTGGACCCTATTTTGAAATCTGAATATTTTGAACTGTGTTAAATTGGCCAAGTTACCAATTTCCAATCACTTTATTGGGTAGTTGAAACAGTTGACTGGGCGATTTCTTGTGCTCGATCGATAAAATAGTAATACTAGCAAAATAGCTAAGAATTTGGTCAGCTGGAATAACGTAATTGGCCTAAAATGGGAGTCAAAGTCAGCAAAATCGCCGATGCATAAATATCACTGACGCAGCAAAATTCGCGAGAGCGTAATTTTGTCAATTTTCCATCAAATTTCGTACTTTTTGTTTTAATACTTTCAGAAAAAGATTCTCTAACATTTCATAAGACAAAATAACAAAAAAATTTTTTGAACATTCTTGGAGCCTGGCTGTTGCTCTGAGATTTGGCCTTTGGACCCTCAAAGGGTTAACACAGATAATGTATGCATCATTCATTGGGACAAACTAGTATACTTTATGGCATGGAAAGACCCCATATCATTCAAGATAGGAACAGAAACAGATGGTATTTAGAATCAGCAACACACTATAAAACAGAACCCAGGTGCTTTCAGCCTAGCAAAATTCCTTTTTATATATTATCTTACATGGGAAACACCCAGCCCATAATTCAACAACAGATCATACCTATATAATAGACAAACTGAATGCAGTGCTCTGCTAACCTGAAGCAGCACCCGATACACAATTCTTGCCTCACACTCCATGAATATGTACGACTTAATGAAGCTTGACCTTGAGTGAAACAATCTCAATAAGGCTTCTTCTGCATATTTTTTTGTATGCAATAATCTGTCTGAATTATGCCTCTATATTCAGTACCTAGTACACTACAACGATTGCCTAGTACATTAATGTAAATGCTTAGTACACTATTGTGAGTACCTAATACACTACTGAAAGGTCATAGTACACTAATGTGACTGCATATTTAATCTCCAACAGTTTAGAATCTACAACTACTTTTAGAATAAATACCTTGCTTACAATGCAGGCAAACCATAACTTAAGGCATGCACTTACCACTTGCAGATGAGGTGAGGCCAGTCAGCACTGCAACAGAATCCCAAGCATAACCATGTTATTCTATGCTTGCAACTCAAATATTTTACTACCATATTAACCATAACATCAAATGAACAGTGAAGAATGAGCAGAGTTCAGCACTACATCACACTGGAGTTAATGATGACATTCAGCTCAAGCATTTACATAACATTATATTTCATTCAGTCTTAGACCTTATTAAAAATATCTTCAATTCTAAGCATAATAATGGAAAACAAGATCTTTTAAAAGCTAGGGAAAGAAGGGTCATTTATGATGTGCATTTTGCCCCAAGTATAAAAACAACTGAATATGTTATTCAAATTCTTAGATATAGATATTTGTGTTCTGTAAATGGTTCAGAAGACCACTGCCACAGCTGCCTCAAAAATTGGAAAGGAAATAGTGCATTACAAGAAAAAGAGCAAAGGAAACACACAAGAAAGTAAATATAAGCATATATCTGTCAACTTGCAAATTAATGATAAAGAAAAGTACACTAATCCTGCCTAAGTACAGAAAGTTTAACATGCTTTTATTTCACATTCGTATAACAGAAGTGCCTTCATTGATTATTAGGTAAATAAGTAACATTATTTCCCATAAATTTTAGCAATATTAGGTTAGGCTGCTATGTCAGTTTTGGTACTAAGTAACAAAATTACTACCAAAAATTTGAATAACTATATTCAACTGTTTTATCTGTAGGGTAATCTTCCGACAATCCAAAAGAGTTTTAATATAGCAAAAGTATGATGACCACGGTCTAAGATTGTTCATATACAAAAATTATCTATGCAAAAAAAGCCATTCTGGAAAGCCCAACAATAATTATACCTCCTCCAGCTAAGAGTGCACAGATATACGGTAATCTTTATGATGTAATATGCATGACTGATTTAAAATTCAAATTGGCAAACAAAACTCAAATTGTATTTCTCTGACTTATATTTCTCATGAAAATATAAGACTAGAAAATAACAAGGAAAATTGCATTTGTTATTAAAAAAAATCCTGAGATACTCAGTGGCCACTGTATTAGGTACAACTTTCTAGTATTGGACAGGGTTCCACTATGCTCCCAGAACATCCCAAAATTTCATGACATGGATTTAACAAGGTGCTGGAAACATTCCTTAGATTCTGATCCATACTGACATCATAGCATCACACAGTTGCTGCAGATTTGTTGGCTGCATATTCATGCTGTGAATCTCCCTTTCTCCAACATTCCAAAGATTTATCGCTGTATAGCCCTTGTGGCTTAGCGCTTCTTTTTGATTATAATAATCCAAAGATTTATGCCAAATTCTGATCTTACCATCTGCATGTTGCAGCAGAAATCCCTATTTGTCAGACCAGTTTTGGTGAACCAGCACCCACAGTAGCCTCAGCTTTTTTAGCTGACAGGAGTAGAACTCGGTTTGGTCTTCTGCTGCTGTAGCCCATCCACTTCAAGGTTCGACATGCTGCGCATTCAGAAATTCTCTTCTGTATGCTATTGTTGTCACCTTCCTCTTAGCTTGAACAAGTCTGGCCATTCTCCTCTGACCTTTCTCAATAACAAGGCATTTTCACCCACAGAACTGCTACACCTTGGATATACTTTTTTTTTCCACCATTCTCTGTAAACTCTAGAGACTGTTGTGCATGAAAATCCCAGGAGATCATCAGTTTCTAACATACTCAAAACTACCCCATCTATCTGGCATGAACAATCTTTCCATGGTCAAAGTCACTCAGATCACATTTCTTCCCCATTCTGATGTTTGGTCTGAACAACACTGAACCTCTTGACCATGTCTGCATGCTTTAAGGCACTAAGGTGCTGCCACATGATTGACTGACGAGATATTTGAATTACTGAAGAGGGGTACCTAATAAAATGGCCACTGAATGTACATCTCAAGTAGTTTCCAAAAAATTTCCCCTTCATTAAAGAGACAATTTCTTCAAATTGAAATATTAAGCAAAAACAAGAATTTCAATACCATAAACACTAGATACACTAATCACTTGTAATTATCATAGAAAGGTTAAAAGAAAATGTCATTTAGGGTAAGTGAAACCTATTAGGTATATCAACAATATCCATGAAAGTGAACTCTTTGTTAGCATAATATATAAGCTATTATGGTAGCTGTGGAATAACAAGCATGATATAAAAACATCCCTACAGTCATTATATACACATGAGTGCACATTCATACTGGGTTTGTTTGCTAATATGTATAGTATACATACATATATGATAAGGATGATGATATAACAGTGTATATTCTTAGAAAGAAAAGCCCATAATTACTTGGAGCATTTCAGGCAGTCATAAGCTGGGACTAATACAAACAATATAAAAATAAAGAATATAATGGATATGTGTATATAAATGTAGTACACACCAAATATATAAAATTACATATTGCAATACAAATTTTAGTGAAAACTGAGTACTTAATAAAAAACATTAAATATAAATTTAATATTAAGTTGAAACTTAACTAAGAAAATTACAAAGCAAATAAGGAAGTAAAGATTTAATAACAATTGGAGATACTGCATAATTAAATTTAAGGTTTATGGTGTAATTTATAACTTGAAGGTCAAAGTTTAATGGTAATCTAACTCGTTCTATTAAAATTGTTTTAGGGACATATAGTGCATTGAACACACATTTTAAGTCTTTGCTTAAAAACATTAATTTAAAATTCTTAATTTATCTGGAAAGTTATTCCACCATTTTGACCTTTATATGTATTTGCATTGAACATATATAAGATGCTCAAACAAACACAAGAACTATCCAAGAGGATTTGCTTAGAGTTTGTTCTTTGAGCGCCTTTCTGCTGTATTAAGTCTCCCAGGAAGTATTGTAGATTAGCATCATTATTACAGTGGGCTGTGTGTAAGATGTAGAATGAATAATAGTATGGTATTAATCTTTACAGTAGCAGATTTTGGGATTTGGATAATGGCACATTTGTTACCCAAAATTTGAATTTGTAGTAGTTCTGATTGGTTTAACCCTTTGACTGTTTCAGGCCCCTCTCTGAAACTGTCATTCTATGTCGCTCAATTTTTGAAAAAAAAAAAATTATTTTTTCTTATGAAATGATAAGAGAATCTTTTCCCGATAGTAATGACACCAAAAGTTCGGAATTTGGTCGAAAACTCATGGAATTATGCTCCTGCAAATTTAGCGGTCTCGGTGACATATGCGTATCGGCGATTTCGCCGACTTTGAGCCCTATTTTCAGCCAATTCCATTGTTCCAGTTGACCAAACTCATAGCTATTTCTTTAGAACTCCATTTTATCTATCAGCTGAGTACAAGAAACCTCCCATTTACTAATTTGGACTACCCAATATGGTGGTCAGAAATTGGCAATTTGGCCAATTTCACGCAAACTAAAAAGATGCCAATTTCAAAATAGGGTCCACAATAAACAAGGTAGACATTCGTGGCACTAAAATAACATATGCTCTGTTCATTAGTCACATCTCTAGGCCCCTCTTATATTATTATTGCTTTCTATTTTTATTTTTTATTCATACAAAAAAAATACAAAATTTACTGTTATGCAGACTACTGCATTATTGTAAAAATGGTATAAATAATATCAGTGCACTAGTGAAAGAATATTAGACTCCCCAGTTGACGTGTATTGGACGTGTGGTGTGATTTATTTACTCCTGAACATTGGTAAAAATTGAACATTTCCGCTACTTTGAGCTCAGTTTCAAGGTCGTTTTCATCGTCAAAGTAATGGAAATCATCTCTATTTCTGTAATATGTTTTGCATTTTATCACCTAAGACCATGAAAACGCGAATACAACGATAAATACTATACGAAAATACACCTCAAAGTCGGCGTTTTATTCCAAAAAAACGATCAGTTTTTTTTTCTCATTACGCAATGTGTGCTGCAGGATTTTTTTTTATGTGGTGCACACTGGCCACACAGACCCATTCTCTCACATGTGGGCCTACCAGCTTTCTCCCGCTTGATTTGAAGCCGCTAGAATTATTGAGTATATACACGTCAGAAACATTGGCTCGTAAGACGTATTTATGTCGAAAACAGTCAAAGGGTTAAGGTGAATAACTGAAGTAGAGCCCAGGCACAAATTCCATAGGTGAGGTATGGGTAAATAAGCAAAAATTAGTATATTAGTAGTAATGACTGGGGAAGATAACAACAAATTTTGGAGAGAATGACTACAATTTTTTTATAATTTTGAAATGAGATGTTAATTTATTATCTACAAGCAAAGCTAAAAAAAATTATCCTCATTCTTTTTCTCTGATTCATTATTTCTGATGTCTAAATTATCAACATGATTTATTCCCAAAAGTTATACAGAATTTTTTTCTATATCAAACGCAAGTTTTTTAACATCCAAGTGTAGACTTTTTTTTTTTTTAGTCCATCATTAACTAGAATGTAACTAAGTCAGGCAGGGTCAAAGCATGATAAAATAAAGGTCATGGCATCAGCAGAGAGCACTGACCAAGATGCTGGGTGGCACTAAGTCACTGATACAGAGGAGGAAAAGATGAGGGATTCAGGAACACTTGAATTTAAAGTAGTTGAGTAGCTGAGGAAGTGCCATTTATGACTGTGCTGTACTATATATGTGATTAAGCTTGCAAAGAATATTGTGGTTAATTGTATCAAAAACCTTAAATTAATTCATTATGATCCAATTAGATACTTATCTCTTTCAAGTGCTGCATAAACTGTCATACTTTTTTTTATGATTGCATCATTTGTGTTTTTTTGGGGAAGCCTGAATCTAATCTGGCAAGGAGCAAGCAAATTTTGTAAAGTTAAGAACAAGAACAGCTGTTTGTGGATCACTTTCTCAAAATGTTGATAGTATAGGAGATTAGATAGTGGACTACAAATGCTTGTAATAGTTTGATCACCTTTGTGACTGTTTTATCTTGACTCTTTTAGGACAGTGGAAAGGTGTGTAACTAAAGTTATTTTTTTTTTTTCAACAAGTCGGCCATCTCCCACTGACTTGATTTAGGAGATAGTACATACATGTGTAGCTTTATTGAAGGTAATGGAGAGTTGACCTTGTGTGATACAAACCAAATTTTTTAGCAATTTAATGACTAATGCTATTTCAAAGATTTGGGTAAGAGCCAAATCAGTGTGAGCAATTATCAATTAGATAACTACTGATGTTGGTATGTAACTTTGATGTTTTGTTTGTAAGTCTAGCCCCTACTGTAGAAGCTTATTCATGAAATCAGTAATTGAAAGAAGGGCTTCTTTGCATTAGAGAGGATAATTATTCTTATGAATAGTGTAGAATAATAATGCTTTAATATTTCCTTAAAGAGCTTATATTACTGTTGAGATTCAGTTCTCTTTCTTAATTTGTGTTTCACAGTATTGTAAAGTTAACATCTGAAGCATCATTAAGGAGCCTAAAAGTAATTTTTATAGTTTTGAGTGGGATTTTGGAAAAGTTAGTGATAAAAAGTAGGGTAATGGTCAGCTGTTCTATCCTTGATTATACCCAAATTTAGAGGTGCTGTTATATTGGTCAAGATATGATCTAGAATTAAATTTGTGATTCAAACACATTAGTAGATTGGGAAAAAGAGTATTAGAAGGAAAGAATACATGCTGCTAAGGAAGCTTGATACTCTGGAGTTATTTGATTGAGAAGGATGACGGCTGAAATATCCCGGAATTATCAAGTAATTTTTATGGATTTTGTTACTACATTTCTCACATTATCACTGATTATAAATGTTGTGTGTGGTTAATTACGCATACCATATTCATCACTGGTGTTTCTCGACATTCAAACAATTGAATTCATTAGTACAGAAAATAGCAGTACCTCCACTATTCTTGTTTGTTCTATAATTGTGGATAGCTGTATATTCAGGTATGTTGAATACACTAGTGAAGTCGTGTTTTAACCAGGTCTCTGTTAATAAAATAAAGGAAAATTTGGTACTCAATAATTCAAGCAATGTTATAATATCATTGGAGTGTTTGCTTAGGAACCTTGAGTTATAACTGAACATGCTAAACAACTGCTTTTATCAATGAGAATTTTAGTAGTGTTTGCTGTACAGTACTAGAGTATGGTCAGTACTCAGCAAGCTGTACACTGCCATACATGTTTAGGTTAGGTTTAGGGTCAATACTGGTGTACATAAAAAGGAAAGGTATGTAAAATTTAATACTAGGAGAATAACAATGACCTATCATGGTACGCATGAACATTTTTGCCAGTTCCTACTTTAAGTGTAAGAACAAACAATAATGGTTTACAATTCTGTTTTATGTTCAAGAATTTCATTAATCTACACTTGGACTTAAAACATACAAAGGATTGGTAATGATTTATGCTGTTTATATCAAACATTTAAAATGCATTGAATGAGGGCAAGTTTATACAAAGCTGAAACTAATAGAGGTCACTACACTGTGTACCTTCAATACCTTGCAGCTTGTAGGCCAAAAGAAGTGGTTAAAAATATATTATTTTTCATACAAATGTCAAAGAATTTCATGCAGTTCTGAAAACTTATTAAAAGTACTACCATAAACAAACAGAATTAGTGAAAAAGCACCGATAATATAAATATGAGAAAAAAATATCAGTACTGTACATAACACTGTCAACAAAAATGTATTTATAATAAAATACTGTCTACAAAAAAAGGGGGAACAATTTGAAAGCAAGACAACAGTAATTAGCAAAAAAAAGATGCACTGAAATTTTTATTTGATTTAGTTGTATGTACTTTACAAGTAGTTTACTGGTATGTCGGCAGTGAAAATTTATTGAGGAAAAGAGTGGAGTCAAGAAAGGATGCAAGTGATACCTTGGTCGGTGAGGGTGAAGGAAGAGCTGGGAGAAGTAGGGAATGTGATACCTGGCTGGGTGAGAGCTTGAAGTCCCGTTGTGCTGCCACCTGTAATGGCCGCCAGTGACGCTAGGTTCTGCATGTTCATACCCAACCCTGTACATAAACACACAACACCGCCAACGTTAGTCTCACACACAGTTACAAATAATGACTTAGTGGGAATAGGTTGTAAAAGTAAGGTGTTCATTATCTCTAATATGAAAATTTAATCAGGAGGCAAAAAATATTGTGCTATCTAAATATAAAACGTACACACACACACACTCACTCACTCTCTCTCACTCCTGGCAGGGCCAGGAGCTGTGATTCTACCCCTACAACCACAAATAAGCGAGCATGTGTGCATGCATGCATGCATGCATGCATGCATGCACGCATGCACGCACGCACGCGCGCACACACACACACACACGCACACGCACACAAAACCTTCTGGAGTTCTATGACAAAGTTACAGAAGTGAGACACGAGAGAGAGGGGCGAGTTGATTGCATTTGCTTGGACTGTAAGAAGGCCTTCGACACAGTTCCTCACAAGAGACTAGTGCAGAAACTAGAGGATCAGGCACGTATAACAGGAAGGACACTGCAATGGATCAGAGAATACCTGACATTGCCCTATCCCTCTCCATCCTCTAAATGCCAAATCCACTATGGGAACCCCTCAGCTCACTGAATTATACCCTTGTTGACCCCACTTTTTTTTTTTATACTCCAAATCTTCTGGAAAATATTCACACCACACAGTGATATCCAACATGATATCACCACTGCCTCTAGCCATTTTCTCACTGCACCAAGGTCCATGCCTCACACCAATACAAGTGTTGATACCACTATACAGTAACACATTCCCCCTTTTTCTTTTTTTTTTTTTAGCCTCCATAAACTTCTATCAACAGATGCCTTGACACATGCTACCTACATTGTATTTTACATTTTGAGGTATTGGAAGGGACAGGTAAACTACTACAAGAATAGCAATCTATTACAATACCTCAATAACAATACCACTGAACTCTTTAACAACTTTACATCCAGTCTTGACCAATTTAATTTTTCTCCTGTTCACCACTGTAGTAAGTACCATCTACCAGCTGGGCTTACAGTATCTGTCATAACAGCCTTAGGAATGACAGCTGATGTGGAGAGGTGGAGGTCTATTTCACTGAACTCTCCATAGAGAGCAGTTTTACATTTTTTTTTTCAACAAACCGGCCGTATCCCACCAAGGCAGGGTGGCCTAAAAAGAAAAACGAAAGTTTCTCTTTTTAAATTTAGTAATTTATACAGGAGAAGGGGTTACTAGCCCCTTGCTCCCGGCATTTTAGTCACTTCTTACGACATGCATGGCTTACGGAGGAAGAATTCTGTTCCACTTCCCCATGGAGATAAGAGGAAATAGACAAGAACAAGAAAATCCAGAGGGGTATGTATATATATGCTTGTACATGTATGTGCAGCGTGACCTAAGTGTAAGTAGAAGTAGCAAGACGTACCTCAAATGTTGCATGTTTATGAAAAAAGGACACCAGCAATCCTAACATCATGTAAAACAATTACAGGCTTTCATTTTACACTCACTTGGCAGGACAGTAGTACCTCCCTGGGCAGTTGCTGTCTACCAACCTACATGAGAAACTTTTTTAAAATTAAAAGTTTTTCACGTTTCAAAAAAAATCAGTGAACTGCTTTAGGAATCCTACTGCCAGCACCAAAGTTTGATATACCTATATTCAGTTTTCAAGAGTTTTTCTTTCCTTGCAGCCCAGCCTGACGCCTGACTTTTGTTGACTGCCCTTTTAACCAGGCTTTTGCTATTGATGGGATGCTGGCCCACATAGCCATCTCCGCCTAGTTGATCTGGCATATAGCAGAGGTGTTGGTTCAGCTCTTTCTTGAAGACTTCTAGACTTGCTCTGGCAATATTTTTCATATCTCTTGGAAGCAGGTTCAATAGTTTCAGACCATAACATCATGTAAAACAATTACAGGCTTTCATTTTACACTCACTTGGCAGGACAGTAGTACCTCCCTGGGCAGTTGCTGTCTACCAACCTACATGAGAAACTTTTTTAAAATTAAAAGTTTTTCACGTTTCAAAAAAAATCAGTGAACTGCTTTAGGAATCCTACTGCCAGCACCAAAGTTTGATATACCTATATTCAGTTTTCAAGAGTTTTTCTTTCCTTGCAGCCCAGCCTGACGCCTGACTTTTGTTGACTGCCCTTTTAACCAGGCTTTTGCTATTGATGGGATGCTGGCCCACATAGCCATCTCCGCCTAGTTGATCTGGCATATAGCAGAGGTGTTGGTTCAGCTCTTTCTTGAAGACTTCTAGACTTGCTCTGGCAATATTTTTCATATCTCTTGGAAGCAGGTTCAATAGTTTCAGACCATGGATGTTGAAAGCATGCTCTTATTGTATCCATGGCATCCCTACTTTTCACTGGGTCTACTTTACCACTTCCTGGTAATGTGTAGATGTAGGACTACACTCTAAAGTATCTAACATGTGCTGTCATATATATCAGGTACCTGTCTCTTCTATGCTCCAAAAAGTACCCAGTACATTCCAAGTACTTTGAGGTACAGTGTATTCTCAACAGCTTAAATGCTTCCTTGGCTATATGCAAGCCATAAACAATCTCTGTACTTTTTCCAGCTCTGATATTTCTCCTGCCTAGAGTGAAGCCATCAGCACTGAACAATATGCCTGACAAAAGAGCACAAATTATTAGAAGAGTATAACTGTTAGGCAAAAGGACACAAGTGCAACTAATGTGACATTTTACTGTGGCAACATTTCACTCTCCAGGAGCTTTATCAGTAATGGCTTGATAAAGCTCCTGGAGAGCAAAATGTTCCCACAATAAAATGTCACACTAGTTGCACTTGTGTCCTTTTACCTAACATATTGTCGGTAATTCTACCAACTTTAATACAAGAGTAACACTACTGAGAGTTCTTATCCACCCTGCCCTTTTTCTGGCCAACACTGCATTTCCCTTAGTTATATTTAACACAATGGCCATATCCCACCAAGGCAGGTTGACCCAAAGAAGAAAACAGAATCACCAACATTCACTTAACCATCTTTCCAGATGAACATTAGAAAAAAGGTATACTGCAGCAGGCCTACTGGCCCATATTAGGCAGGTCCTTCTCAAACCCAAATCCCCTAGTCAAACCCAAACCCCCTGATATCACATTCAGATTACCTCTACAACTGCAACATCTCCAATCCTCCTTAAGAGTGAAGGCACTGCCCTTCCAGTCTCCAGGATTCCAGTCCACCTAACTAGTTTTCCCAGATGTTTTGCACTGAGGTACAATGAATAACCTTTTCAAAGAAATTTTGTCAGCAAATACATTAATGCTTTATTATTTTCTTATTGTGTGATCATTTTTTTTTTTTTTTTTTCAACAAGTCGGCCATCTCCCACCGAGGCAGGGTGACCCAAAAAAGAAAGAAAATCCCCAAAAAGAAAATACTTTCATCATCATTCAACACTTTCACCACACTCACACATTATCACTGTTTTTGCAGAGGTGCTCAGAATACAACAGTTTAGAAGCATATATGTATAAAGATACACAACATATCCCTCCAAAATGCCAATATCCCAAACCCCTCCTTTAAAGTGCAGGCATTGTACTTCTCATTTCCAGGACTCAAGTCCGGCTATATGAAAATAACCGGTTTCCCTGAATCCCTTCACTAAATAAGTCCGGCTATATGAAAATAACCGGTTTCCCTGAATCCCTTCACTAAATAAGTCCGACTATATGAAAATAACCGGTTTCCCTGAATCCCTTCACTAAATATTACCCTGCTCACACTCCAACAGATCGTCAGGTCCCAAGTACCATTCGTCTCCATTCACTCCTATATAAAAATAAATGGTATAAAATACCGACACACTGGAAACATAAACACATATGCAGTTTAATGTGATCCTTTATTGACAACGTTTCGCCTACACAGTGGGCTTTTTCAAGTCACACACAGATCATTCCAAGTATCTACCTCCACAACCACGACCATCAAGGACATCACCAGTAGTAGACAGGACAAGCTTCGATCCTCTGCAGGGGTATACATAATCCCTTGTAATGACTGCAACAAATTATACGTGGGCGAAACATCAAGAGACCTCCAAACACGTATTTCAGAACACCAATACGCAAGCAGGACTGACGATACAAGGAATGCCTGTGTACAACATCGCAATTCACACAACCATTTAATTAACTACAGAAACTCAAGACTTATCGCCACAGAAGACAAGACTCGATACAGAAGAATCCTGGAATCATCGCTTATCTCTATAACCAACAATTTCAACCAGAACAATGGCTTCTATAACATAGCTGAACCACTTGCCAAGAAACTTCTTCATCGCTATCCCACATAAGAACATAGAACACTGCAGAAGGTCTACTCACAACTTGTCCAATACCCCTGCCAAGCTACCAAAGACTCTATAACCCCACCCGGTAGATCATCAGATGCAGCATTCTTCACCTGACCTCAACATTCTGAACCTGACTATAAATACTCCTGTACCTTCCACCCCAGGTAGATCTGTGTGTGACTTGAAAAAGCCCACTGTGTGGGCGAAACGTTGTCAATAAAGGATCACATTAAACTGCATATGTGTTTATGTTTCCACTCCTATCTAACATGCTCACGCACGCTTGCTGGAAGTCCAAGCCCCTCGCCCACAAAACCTCCTTTACCCCCTCTCTCCAACCCTTTCGAGGATGACCCCTACCCCGCCTTCCTTCCCCTATAGATTTATATGCTTTCCATGTCATTCTACTTTGATCCATTCTCTCTAAATGACCAAACCACCTCAACAACCCCTCTTCTGCCCTCTGACTAATACTTTTATTCACTCCACACCTTTTCCTAATTTCCACACTCCGAATTTTCTGCATAATATTTACACCACACATTGCCCTTAGACAGGACATCTCCACTGCCTCCAACCGTCTCCTCACTGCTGCATTTACCACCCAAGCTTCACATCCATATAAGAGTGTTGGTACTACTATACTTTCATACATTCCCTTCTTTGCCTCCATAGATAACGTTTTTTAACTCCACATATACCTCAACGCACCACTCACCTTTTTTCCCTCATCAATTCTATGATTAACCTCATCCTTCATAAATCCATCCGCCAACACGTCAACTCCCAAGTATCTGAAAACATTCACTTCTTCCACACTTCTCCCAATTTGATATCCAATTTTTCTTTATCTAAATCAATTGGTACCCTCATCACCTTACTCTTTTCTATGTTCACTTTCAACTTTCTACCTTTACATACATTCCCAAACTCATCCACTAACCTTTGCAATTTTTCTTTAGAATCTTCCATAAGCACAGTATCATCAGCAAAAAGTAACTGTGTCAATTCCCATTTTAAATTTGATTCCCCATAATTTAATCCCACCCCTCTCCCAAACACCCTAGCATTTACTACCTTTACAACCCCATCTATAAATATATTAAACAACCATGGTGACATTACACATCCCTGTCTAAGACCTACTTTTACTGGGAAGTAGTCTCCCTCTCTTCTACACACCCTAACCTGAGCCTCACTATCCTCATAAAAACTCTTTACAGCATTTAGTAACTTACCACCTATTCCATGTACTTGCAACATCTGCCACATTGCTCCTCTATCCACTCTATCATATGCCTTTTCTAAATCCATAAATGCAATAAAAACTTCCCTACCTTTATCTAAATACTGTTCACATATATGCTTCAATGTAAACACTTGATCTACACATCCCCTACCCACTCTGAAACCTCCTTGCTCATCTGCCATCCTACATTCTGTCTTACCTCTAATTCTTTCAATTATAACCCTACCGTACACTTTTCCTGGTATACTCAGTAAACTTATTCCTCTATAATTTTTACAATCTCTTTTGTCCCCTTTCACTTTACATAAAGGGACTATACATGCTCTCCACCAATCCCTAGGTACCTTCCCCTCTTTCATACATTTATTAAACAAAAGTACCAACCACTCCAACACTATATCCCCCCCTGCTTTTAACAATTGTCATGATCTCATGAGTTCCAGCTGCTTTACCCCCTTTCATTCTACGTAATGCCTCACGTACCTCCCCCACACTTACATTCTGCTCTTCTTCACTCCTAAAAGATGGTATACCTCCCAGGCCAGTGCATGAAATTACCGCCACCCTTTCTTCCTCAAAATATTCTCGCCATCTACCTAATACCTCCCTCTCCCCATCTACTAACTCCCCTACTCTGTTTTTAACTGACAAATCCATACTTTCCCTTGGCTTTCTTAACTTGTTTAACTCACTCCAAAATTTTTTCTTATTTTCATTAAAATTTCTTGACAGTGCCTCTCCCACTCTATCATCTGCTCTCCTTTTGCACTTTCTCACCACTCACTTTACCTTTCTTTTACTCTCCATATACTCTGCTCTTCTTATAACACTTCTGCTTTGTAAAAACCTCTCATAAGCTACCTTTTTCTCTTTTATCACACCCTTTACTTCATCATTCCACCAATCACTCCTCTTTCCTCCTGCCCCCACCCTCCTATAACCACAAACTTCTGCCCCACATTCTAATATTGCATTTTTAAAACTATTCCAACCCTCTTCAACCCCCCCCACTACTCATCTTTGCACTAGCCCACCTTTCTGCCAATAGTCGCTTATATCTCGCCCGAACTTCCTCCTCCCTTAGTTTATACACTTTCACCTCCCTCTTACTTGTTGTTGCCACCTTCCTCTTTTCCCATCTACCTCTTACTCTAACTGTAGCTACAACTAAATAATGATCCGATATATCAGTTGCCCCTCTATAAACATGTACATCCTGGAGCCTACCCATCAACCTTTTATCCACCAATACATAATCTAACAAACTACTTTCATTACGTGCTACATCATACCTTGTATATTTATTTATCCTCTTTTCATAAAATATGTATTACTTATTACCAAATCTCTTTCTACACATAGCTCAATTGAAGGCTCCCCATTTACATTTACCCCTGGCACCCCAAATTTACCTACTACTCCCTCCATAACATTTTTACCCACTTTAGCATTGAAATCCCCAACCACCATTACTCTCACACTTGATTCAAAACTCCCCATGCATTCACTCAACATTTCCCAAAATCTCTCTCTCTCCTCTACACTTCTCTCTTCTCCAGGTGCATACACGCTTACTATAACCCTCTTTTCACATCCAATCTTTATTTTACTCCACATAATCCTTGAATTTATACATTTATAGTCCCTCTTTTCCTGCCATAGCTTATCCTTCAACATTATTGCTACTCCTTCTTTAGCTCTAACTATTTGAAACCCCTGACCTAATCCAATTTATTCCTCTCCATTGAAACTCTACCACCCCCTTCAGCTTTGTTTCACTTAAAGCCAGGACATCCAGCTTCTTCTCATTCATAACATCCACAATCACCTCTTTCTTATCATTTGCGCAACATCCACGCACATTCAGACTTCCCACTTTGACAATTTTCTTCTTATTCTTTTTAGTAATCTTTACAGGAAAAGGGGTTACTAGCCCATTGTTCCCGGCATTTTAGTTGACTTTTACAACACGCATGGCTTACGAAGGAAAGATTCTTATTCCAAAATACTGTTTTTTAATAAAGATCATTTAGTTTGTGTGGTGGGAATTTTATTTTCCTGGTTTGGAAGTTGGCATTTAAACATAAATGCTGTAGCTGTTCAAAAAGTGCCTTCGTGTATTTTTCCATTCTTACAGGGTCTAATATTATCATATGTGAATACAGAGAGTTCACTATTCTAATAAGAACATAGGAAAGAAGAAATACTGTGTTAGGACTACTGGCTCATGATAGGCATGTCCAACTCAGGCCCAGCTACTGCCAAGGCACCTCAGTTTTTACTTCTCTTGGCTACCTAACCATTAGATGGTCTGACATTAAATTCCTTACATCCATAAACTGGTTGAAAAGTGAAATTAAAATTTTTGTAGTTTGAAAAAAATCTAAATTTCCTTCTCAGTATAAACCCTAAATTTTTAATATGTTAAGTAAAAGGACACAAATGCAACGTTGCCACAATAAAATGTCACATTAGTTGCATTTGTGTCCTTTTACTTAATATATTGTTGGTAATTCTACCAATATTAATACAAATTTTTAATGAGGAAGAATTCCAAATAAGTGTGATATTACAACTGTATATATAGTGTAGTTAAATGTTTAATACAGAACAGATGGAATACAGTGGACCCCCGGATTAAGATGTCATCGGATTAAGTAATTGGATTAAGTAACGTTTTTTCGTCAAAATATTGGCTCGGTTAAAGCCATTCGTCCAAGATGTGTCCGCGTGCCATGAGTGGCCCAGATACTCCACATACAGCCAGTGTGCCATTGTTTACCAGCCAGTGAGAACAATTCCACATGTACATGCAATACATTTTGCACTATTCCATTGTTTTTAGTGCTTGTCACTGCTAAATAAGCCACCATGGGTCTAAAGAAAGCTTCTAGTGCCAGCCCTTTGGTAAGGAGGGTTAGAAACACTATAGAACTCAAGAAAAAGTTTGTAGAAAGATACAAAAGTGGTGGTGGTAGTGATGGTGGTACACCAGCCAGGGTACTTCTCCACATACCAGTCAGGGTACTTCCCCACACACCAGCCAGGGTACTTCCCTGCATACCAGCCAGGGTACTTCTCCACATACCTGCCAGGGTACTTCCCCACACACATGATTTAATCTGAGTGGGACTTGTGCATGAGTGAATAGAATTATCAAAGCTTATTGCTTGGGAAGCATTGAAAATTGGGTTGGGCAAATACGAATCGGTTAGTAGGATGGTTTGTGAAGGACCTGCCTAGTATGCGCCAACAGGCCTACTGCAGTGTTCCTGCTTTATGTGCAAACATTCATGGATGAACATCACCCTGACACAGCTGTTGCAGGCTGTGCTGGCAACATCTACAATGACAATGTTGTGTCCTATTTTAGGGAAATCTTATAGAGATGCCAGAAACAGAGCTCTCTGGTCAGATATTTAGTGCCACAGGTGTGCAGTGACTCAAGCTGGTCCTAGCATTAAAAAACAAAGAAGGGAAGTAATGCCGGAAAAGGACTTGGTACCTGAAGCCTTTATGGAAGGGGATTTCCCTTCCAAACAATAGTACACCTCCATCCTCTCCTCTCTTCTTAACTCATCACTCATCAATAAGTTTTCAATAAATATAAATGTCATTTTAGTAATGTTTTACTCTGCACGTCTCATTGTTTTCTGTGTAGGGAAATGTATATTTCATGTAAAAAAATTATTTTGTTTAATACTTTTGGGTGTCTGGAATGGATTAATTGGATTTCCATTATTTCTTATGGAGAAAATTAATTTGAATTAAGTCAGATTTGACATAAGACACTCTCTCTGGAACGGATTAATTACATTTTCCAGGGGTCCACTGTATGATGATAATTCCCAAATAAATGTCACTTGTCTAAATCATTAGTTTTCTTAGATGTTTTAGAGCAGAATACCTATTGGTGTCCTGGTGTTTTATTGCACATCTTAGATTCCAAATAACTAGGCAGAAGCAGCATAAATTCATTAGCACTATTCTACTAAAGAATCTCAACAAGGAAAAATCATGCACACACACAGGTACAAACAGAAAAAAGATATGGAATAACATTATATTATGAATTAATGAGTACCTGTATTTTGCGAACTCATAGACGCTAATAAGCCTTGCAGGTTGGTTTCCTGGGAGCCATTAGTCGAAGTGGGCAAGTTGAGGCTGCCTAGAGACCCCAAACCACTCAGACCTAAGGAATGAGAGCCTGTTGATGAATAAAGGCAACACATTAGTCAATTTTTGCTTTATTTAGAAAACAAAAAATAAGCTTCTATGATAGTTACAATTAATGCCAAGGAAGTAGATATTAATTTGCTGATTCCTTCCCTTCGACTGCTGTTTTCAAGCTGCTTTGCGAGACATGTGAATAGTCTTTTAGTATTAGGTTAAGTCTGCCCGAAATGCCTTGGCATGATAGTGGCTTTCTTTGTACCAATCAAATTATGAAATGCAAACACACATTGTAACCTTAGCAAAGAAATACATTTTTATTTTATTTTACTTTTTCTTGAACAGAAACAATGTGGAACTTAGTAAACTATTCTATAGTGCATCTAGTATTCCAATAAACAGCAACTTCTGATATCCAGTTTTCATACTTTTAGTAATTAGTTTCAAAATTCATGAACTGACATACTGAAGGTGGCACGGATGAGGAAAACTGCTGCTGTGCATACTTTGGGCTTTTCAAATAATTTAATTGCCACAAGTATAATGCTTTGAAAAATCAAATTTTTAATTGTTATACATTTTTGTATTTTGCAAAAATGCAAAATAAATTTTTATTTTTACATTGAGAAAATCTATTTTTTCTTTGTCCCAATGTTTAAAATGATATTTTGCAGTTTTACACTGCAAATATTTATAGTACATACTTCTTCATATAGCATAAATGTGCTATGGATGGAAGGCGCCAAACTAGCTTAACTATTGATTTGTGCTGCTTCTTTGTCTCTCAGCTCTTTTATTTTGTCATTAGTACAGTATTACCAAGAACAATAACTGCTTTTTTGCAACCCCAAATCCTGAAGTGTCTCCTGGTGTCACAAAATATTTGAGAAAAAAAAAAAGTCTTATAAAATTATAGAGAATCATTTCCTGATGATAACACCAAAAGTACAAAATTTCATGGAAAATTTATGAAATTACGCTCTCACGAAGTTAGCGACCTTGGCGACATTTACGCATGGGCGATACTGACCACTTTGAGCCCTATTTTCAGCCAATTCTGTTGTTCCAGTCCACCAAACTCATAGCTATTTCTTTAGAACTCCATTTGTTCTATCGATCAAGTACAAGAAACCACCCATTTACTGATTTCAACTATCCAATAAAGTGGTCAGAAATTGGCAATTTGGCCAATTTCATGCAAATTAAAAAATGTCAATATCAATATAGGGTCCAGAATGAACAATGCAGCCATTCCTGGCACTAAAATAAAATTTTCTCTGTTCATCAGTCACATCTCGGGCCCCTGTTATAATACTCTTGCTTCTATTTTGAATTTTTATTCAAACAAAAAATAGAAGATTTACTGCTATGCAGACTACTGCAATATTGTAATAATTGTATAAATAATGTCAACCCACTCATGACTGCATATTAGAATGGCTAGTTGGACATTTATTGGACAATGACGTCATTTGTTTACTCTTGAACATCGGCAAAAAACGAACATTTCTGCCACTTTGAGCTCCATTTCAAGATTTTTTCATAGTAAAACCAATCAAAATCGCTTCTATTTCTATAATATGTTTTCCATTCTATCCAATGAGACCAAGAAAACAAGAATACAACCATAAATACTATACGAAAATACACCTCAAAGTTGGCGTTTTAATCCAAAAACAAGGTCGGAGTTTTTTTTTTCTCATTATGCACTGAGTGCTGCAGGATTTTTTTTTTTATACTGCACAAACTGACCACACAGACCCATGCTCTCACATGTGGGCCTACCAGCTTTCTCCTGCTTGATTTGAAGCTGCTAGAATTTTTGAGTATATACATGTGTACGTCAAACACATTGGCTCGTAAGACGTACATCTACGACCAAAACAGTCAATAGGTTAATGCATTTGTTAGGCATTTTGTGTGTGTGTTTGCCTTGGTGGTCCTTCTTTTACCTCGTTTACTTTTTTTTCTTAACATTAGCTTTCATTTATGTCTCTTTAGCATAAATTTACCTCATTTAACTAATTTTTTATTGCTTTGTTTACAGTGTCCAATTTTGTTACATTTTATTTAATTTCCCTTTATCTCCTGTTTTCTCCCATTTTATCAATTTTTCTAGCTGAAGTTTTAGTTTGCGATTCTTTTTAATCAGTTCATCAATTTTCTTTTCCTGTCTCCCACTGTCTTTACTGTTTCCTTTAAATCCTTATAGGTCATCTTCACTTTGTTGCTGCTTTAAGGTATGTATCCACTAATTTACTAGTGGTGAGAGGAGTATGGAGGACAGAGTATGAGAAGTACTAAATCAATATTTACATAACTTTTAACCAAGCGAGAGTAATTGTTTTGAAAAACATTAAAGATGAAATCTCTGCTGGAAAATCTAGAGTTCCAGGGGTAAATAATAAGAGGTCCTTTTTCATCTGTCTTATAATGGTTCTCTCGTTTAATTGTAATTAGAGGTTTGGTGATAAACGGTTGACACACTTTTGGATGCACATTTTTTGAGGAGAGATTAATACCAGACTTGTAGTTTTAGTAAGAGGAAGATGAAGTACAATGAAAATAGTAAGAGTTTGTAAAAGAGAAGTGAAAGTGAATTACGAAAAAAAACAGGAAGTTAGTGAAAGATATGAGCAACTGTTGTGATAAACAATATAAAAAGTCAAACGGTTATAAAATTGTTCTGAAAATAGCCTCAATGCATTTCTCACATCTCAAGCTATTTCCTCTGCATCATCCTTATGAAAATCTCTTTTAAAGCAATACAGAAGACCCCCAACATTCGATGGCATCGACATTCGATAAATCTGACATTCGATGCATTTTAACGCAAAAATTTCGCCTCGACATTCGATGGAAAACCCGATATTTGATACGATTTGTACTAGACGTGTCCACGTGTGGCCTGAACTGCCCCGTGTGTGCCAGTGTTTACAAGCCAGCCAGTGTGCGCACATCTAAGGATACATTCGGTGCATTTCATATTATCCATATTATCACTGTTTTTGGTGCTTGTTTCTGCAAAATAAGTCACCATGGGCCCCAAGAAAGCTTCTAGTGCCAACCCTGTGGTAAAAAGGGGGAGAATTAGTATGGAAATTAAGAAAGATTTTGAAGGGTTTGGGGCTAACCCTGAGAAGCCTATGCCAGTTGTGGACTCCATTGTGCCTACTTCAAAAATTAAGGAAATGTGTGCAAAATGGGTTGAACTGCAAATCTTTATGGATGAAAATCACCCTAACACAGCTATTGCAAGCCGTGCTGGTGACTATTACAATGTAAATGTTATGGCCCATTTTAGACAAATCTTAAAGGAATGGCGACAGAGGTCCAGTGACTCAAGCTGGTCCTAGTGGCATAAAAAGAAGGGAAGTAACCCCGGAAAAGGACTTGCTACCTCAAGTCCTAATGGAAGGGGATTCCCCTTCTAAATAGTAACAACTTCGACACTCTCCCCTCCTCCCATCCCATCAATCATCACCAGATCTTCATTAAAGGTAAGTGTCAATTATTCTATTGTTATTATTCTACTGTTATTGTTGTTATTGTAATTATTCTATTGCATTAAACTTAATATTTCATGTGGTAAATTTTTTTTTTTCATACTTTTGGGTGTCTTGCATGGATTAATTTGATTTCCATTATTTCTTATGGGGAAAATTAATTCAACTTTCGGTATTTTCAACATTCGATAGCTCTCAGGAACGGATTAGTATCGAATGTCGAGGGTCCACTGTATTTAAAAGAAAAAGTTAGCAAAGTATGACTACAGTGTCCATCTCACGTTTACAGGACAGAAACTCAAGCCTTCACCATGTCCTTGTGCTTGAATGACTTACTGAGGGAGGTTTAGGCTTTCACATAAACACTGTGATGAAGCCAGCAATGATTACTTATACAACACACATGTACTGATTTACCTGTAAATAAATTTTTCAAAGTTAACAATTTGAACACCTAACAACCAATTCGAGACACTATCATGTGAAAGATTCCATCTGTTACTCAATGGAATGGTGGCTTTGTGGCTAAAGCTCCCGCTTCACACACGGTGGGCCCAGGTTCGATTCCCGGCGGGTGGAAACATTTCGATACGTTTCCTTACACCTGTTGTCCTGTTCACCTAGCAGCAAATAGGTACCTGGGTGTTAGTCGACTGGTGTGGGTCGCATCCTGGGGGACAAGGTTGAGGACCCCAATGGAAATAAGTTACAGTCCTCGATGACGCACTGACTTTCTTGGGTTATCCTGGGTGGCTAACCCTCCAGGGTTAAAAATCCGAACAAAATCTTATCCTATCTTATCTTATAACAAAAAATTAAATGTACCTGATGAATCAAACATCTGTTGTGTAGCCAGATTTCCCTGTGAGGCTGCCAAGAGCTGCTGTACACTAACATTATTAAGGGATGGCAGTTGTTGAAGACTGCCTAGTTGATTGGTGAGACTGCCAGCAGTTGCACCTGAACCAGCTGAGCTGCCCACCTGCTGCTGGAGCAACTGTAAGTACGCCTGAACATTAAACAACGTTAATTTATAATTTTAACCTCCCATTTCTTTGAGTGAAAATAATCATTATGGAAAGGGAGTATCTAAAAAAAATAAACATAATAAATAAAATTAAAAAACTAAATAATCAATGGAATAGGATTAATTGTTATTATTAACACAGGGAAAAAATGTTAAACACACACACTCAAACACAACTTGCATATTATCCGTATTTCTGTAGTTTGTTACTCTTCTAACGTGGTTCTTTGAGGATAAAACAAAATTTGTTTCCCAGAATTCTTTTGTCTTTTAATTACAAATGAGAGATTTCTGTTTAGTAACAGCAAAAACATTCTGCTGTCAGTCTGCATAAAACTTTAGCAATATAGGAGACAGGAGACATTTACTTTACCAACCAGAAAGGTGCTACATACGTGACAAACATCACATTCGAGTGTAAACAAGAGAAACAATTATACACAACTCATCTACTTATTAACTAATGGAAAAGTATTCAACATAATAAGGAAAAAATTATACAACAGATTTTAACTAAGTAAAATACATGGTAATGCATGACACAAATGAACAATATAATAAACCAAGATAACAGCAATTATAAAAATTTTTGTTTTTCCTTTATGGTTATCTATAGTGCACATGTGATACAAAATATAATTTGTGTAGGAAATTAAAACAAAATATAATTCGTCTTGAATAATGTACATACATTATAAGGAAAATCAATTCATCCTAAATAATTTTCTCCTGATTTTTAATGCACTTGTACACTTGAAATATTAATACTTTTCATGACTTGTTTAAGCAGAAATGGGAAAAAATGCAATGGTCTTTATTAGGTATCCCCAAACGGGGGGGGGGTACCTATTTAGGGGTTTCCTGATTTTGTTTTTTCTACCACCACCAAATGGCTTCAAAATTTTCAGTGCATGTGTACTGTAACTAGAGAACATTTCATGCAACTACTGATGTTCAGGTGCCTTCCAGTCAATTTTATATAAACCATTCCTAATTTGTTTTCTGTTATAACTTGAGAAAGCTTCTTCTGTAGGTACCAATTTATCAGTTTTACTTTTAAATTGGTATTCTATATTTTTTTCTGTAAAAAAATTTGATTATGCCTCTTCTGAACTGCTTTACTCAGAAATGGCTGATGGATCTTATGATAAGGATGTTACCTTTTGGGTCTGCACTACTTATCTGTCTGATATCCTGATATCTTTATGAATACGGCATCCACAGTGCAAATTCCTCTGAAGGTAAATTAACGATGTTAATATCTCAGAATACTTGATCAGTTTATCTTATTTCTTTTCTTTCTTTCAACATACCAGCCATATCCCACTGAGGTGGGGTGGCCCAAAAGGAAAAACGAAAGTGTCTCCTTTTAAATTTAGCAATATATACAAGAGAAGGGGTTACTAGCCCCTTACTCCCTGCCTTTTAGTCACCTCTTATGACACGCATGGCTTACAGAGGAAGAATTCTGTTCCACTTCCCCATGGAGTCTTATTTCTTAAGTTGCCTAAAACCCATTCATGAATCAACAAATTTTGCAAGATATCAAAATTAGTCATCAGAATAAGGTTTTGTTTATCCTTCCACTTTGGCAAGAGTTTCACAGTTTAACTTTTTTCCAGCATTTCTAGCAGAAGCAATAAATTTTAGTACAGTACTGTATAATAAACTCTCAAAAATTGCAGGGATAAAGTTCCAAAGGATCCTACAACTGTAATTTTTTAAAAAATCCCTCTTAAAATATCAAAATCATTTTTTTCTTTATTAAAATCTTGATAAATATATCATATATGTAAAGATGAGAGTGTACATGCTCTAAAAATGTCACAATGACCATTACTACTACTACTACTTGTAATGATGAGGTAATGAAGTTCCAATGGCCTTGGTGATGAGTGTGACAATCAGGAGGAGGAGGATTACTCTGGGAGATCACCCAGAGACAACTCATTAGAAATGGTTTCTACTGTTGATTCCAGGGGTCATCATTCCTTTGGCATGGTCCAAGACTGGGCCTCCTAGATGATGGACTGCTCAGGCTGTTGGTGTTAGGAAGTACAGTAATGCAAAAATCTAAGGTAGATGCCATAGCCTGGCCCCTCTCCCAATGCTGGGGTCACCCTAACACAGTGGTGGGGTTTGTAGTTAGTGCCTAGGGGTAGATGGAGGCATAACCGGTTGGTATATTTCCCCTTTCATCTAAATATTGATCACACTTCTGGCCGATGACTTGAAATGCTTTATGGACATGGAATGTGAAAGATAGATTTGGGAAACCTAGTTTTACTTACATTGTGATTATGATTTATGTAATATGAATTAGTCAAGACAGTAACAAGTACTGATAGTTTTTAATTTGTTGTGTAATGTCAGATATGAAATAGTTTTGAAGTGCTGAATAACCAAAAGGCTTTAGTCCTTGTAAATACAACAGAACAATCACCACAGCCCAGCTGATGAAAAGCTAGCTAGAGGAATTTACCAAGGTCTGTTTTGAAAACAGGGGTCTGTTGATAATTCCTTTATACAGTGTACTTGAATAGAGAATGTTGTTTTTTCCTTGTTGCACTTACTGGGTTAACTCTCAGTGTATTTGTTACAGCTCTGCTTGTCACTGGGAATGTTTTGCTCAATCTCTGAGTGGAGGCATGACTTGAGGAAAGGAGTAATAGTCCCAATAACTCAAAGAGCTTTTCACTATCATCAAGACTTTCCCAACCATGTACATGTCCATGGTGTGTTGCTGCTACAGGCATGCAAATAATATAAATGTACCTGTGGAATGATTGCTCTTGCTCATGTTATTGAAAAAAAAATAATTTTTTAAAATAATAAACCGAGTACCATAAATATGCTTCTTTTGACTTGGGTCATCCATAGCAATCCAAGGTTTCTTTGGGAAAAGCATCCAAACAGTGAACAAACTTCAAAAAGTGCTCAAAAGTGCAACTTATTCTTAAATTTGAGATCTCTCCCTGGAGTTATGAATTTCATTTTAAGAAAATCATGATATGTAGGGTCACAGTAAATGAGTATTTGCTGTACTTTTAATACAGATGTTTAGGAAAGAAATTCCAACTCAGTAATAGCAACCCAAATCAGCCCTTCAAGCTTCTGATTTTTTTTTGGTTTTTCTTTCTGTTTAAAAGAATTAAACTGGTCACAATTTAACAACAAATAAACTTTTTAAACTGGTCTCCAGACCAGCTGTTTCTATTACCACAAGGAGTGTTTTTACAAGTGTCCATAAAAAATCCACAAAATAAATTATGCTCTGATTATTAATAATAAATATTACTGTCCCATCCAAGTTTTTCATAATCGTCAGGTATCTCAACCCTTGTATGTAGTATCCTCTCACATGTTTGACTAAATTACAGTATTTCTGACAGTTACTTGTGCACAAGTACAGTTTTCTTTCTTCAAATTATAGTATTGTAATTCTGAACTAAAAATATTTAGCAACAAACTGGTGTGTATCAAACTAGTAGTAAAAGTAAAGTGATACAAAACTTCAGAAAACTGAGATTTTAAGGTTTAATGCTACATAAAAACAGAGGCTTCTGGATGTTACATAACCAAAACACCAGAATGTAGATGGAGTGTACGATTAGTGTAATAAACAATTAGCTGATGGTTAAGATGTGCAAAGTGAAGAGCTGAGAACTGCAGGTGAAAGGTTGGCCTACAAATTAGGGATAACTCAGTATCAAGGGTATCCTTAATAGCAGATATTATCAACACTGGGCCAGTCAAGTGCCAGTACTATAACAAGAATTATAGCTGAATGAAATTTATAATATTAATGAGAATAGGTTTAATTAGAGAGGAATGGGTAAAAAATATCCTTTCTAACAGGTTTGAGAGGAAACTACCCAACCCAGAGAAAACACCTTTGGTTCTGGTATGTACCAATGCAAGGTAAGGCTGCAAAAAACTGAGCTCTAAAATACATAATTAATAAACCATCATTCCAGTACTACAGCTCATTATGTATGCTAAGGCAAGTAATTAGTTCAGAAACTTAATTTGAACAATAATTCCTTTCTCTAAGAAAAGTAAATGGCAAAAACAAAATTAAACCATATAATAAAAACACAGTACTGTGTCACTGGACTTTTAAAAATAATCTGTTGTTATATGAAGTTGTAAATTCTCTAAAAGAAATCTTAGAAAATGCAACTGATTCAGCCTGCTCCCCAGCACTAATATCAGAGTCTAATGTACAAGCCCATGAGCAGGAAGGTTAGTCTCACTGTATGAGGATTCAGAAGGATTATATTCACTTGACAATCTAAGATCTACATACTATACATCACAACAATAAATGTAAAAGAGCTCTATTTTTGCTAATACAGTATACATTTTAGTTTAACACTGAAAACAAATGCAAAAAGAGCATCACACTCACAGCCAGATACTGAGGCCCAAGTGCGACCAGGTTGTTAGCAGAGGAAACGCTCTCTCTTCCGCGCTCTCTCTCTCTCTTCAAGCAGATAGAGAAATACTTAACAATAATCACCTCTTACTCAATATTTCTTATGAAAATTAAAAATAGATAGCAGTGTGCAAAGATCAGGGAACTCTTTATCTAAAAATAATATACAGTAGGCCATAATTTGCAAAAAAAAATCAAGATCAATGGAAGTAGAGCATCCTCAGTTATTTGAAGCAATCACTACTGAGAAAAATACAAGCAAAATAAATTTGAGGTAGGTGAAATGGCTACAAAAGTTAAAATTTCAATAGAAGATAGAAAAATAAAAATACCAGTACTCATTATTCCATTATGAGACATAACTATAGATACAAAAATAATATACCGTATATGCTTGAATATAGATTGACCCGACATTTATTTTTTTGTCCAAAAAATTCCTACATTTTTCTAATGCATTTTACAAGTCAACCCAAATTTTGAGGAACAATAGAATAGGAGTTAAGAATTCCCTTAGTGTGCATATTATGTGTTGATACTCTGTTGGAATTGCTCTGTCGAGGTCAGGCAAGCTGCACAGCCTGATTCATGGAAATGTAGAATTAGAATTTTCCTAATCTAATATGTTCTCTTATCAAAATTTAGCCTAAAACTCTCTTAAGAATTCATGCTGTTTGAGTCACACCATCAAGAGTGGATGTACCACATGTGTGTTCCATGTAAAAAAAAAAAAAAAAAATAACATTCAATAATGTGGAAAAAAGGTAAAAGTGAACGTCAGTCTCTAATGGATCCTGTGTTGTTCTGTTAGTCAGTAATATCAAGGTTGAGCATATAATGCTGCCATGAACTTAGTACAATACATCAGACCACAGAATTCATATGCTTTGTAATCAGTGTGATTTGATTATACAGTTTTGTTACTGAAGGACACTACATGTCTTATTATTCCATATGTGATCCTTAAATTAAACCCAAACTATAAATATTTAGAAAGGGCTCATTTTCCCATTAGTTTTAATATTAAGCAGATTAGAAGAATATTTAAAAAATGAAAATAATATTAAACAATAAGAAAATTCAATTTTCCTAATATCTGCAGTTTAACCCTTTTGCTGTCCTTCACATAGACCTATATCATTGAGACCTGGGCTCCTGATGTAGTTCTACATCATAAGCTCAGCTCACTCAGATAAGCTGTGAGTGGTAAATTCTGGCCAAGATATGAGAAAATGGGGTATGTGTAGTGAGTGTGCAAAGTATAAAAAAAAATCCTGCTCCATGCAGTGCATGATGGGAAAACAAAACTGTGAACATGTATGTGTATGGTTTAAAACAGTCAATTTGAGGTGCTTTCTAGGATGGTTCTTACAGTTTCATTGGCTATTCCATAGTATTTGATAGAATGGAAGACATACTACTGAAATGGAGATAATTTGGTTTCAGGACTCCATGACGAGGCCTCAATAAGTAATTTCACGGCAGAGCTAGAGATGGTTGACTGGCCTACAGAATTCTCCAAGGCCAATGGTATTGACAACTGGACAGACATATTTCTGAATACATTACTTAGACTATACAACAAACATTGTCCAATAAAAACTCAACGGATCACGAATAAACAGCTCGGTTGCCCATGGCTAACTAGCAGCATACTGAAATCCACTGATAAGAAACACCAATATGAAAAGTAATACAGACAGGGCTTAATACACAAAGATATTCTTCAACACAATTCATTAGTTCTCACCAAACTAATAAAAAAAGCCAAACAACTGTACTACTACAGCAGATTCACTGAAACAAAAGGAGATATAAAAAAGACCTGGAAAACACACATTCAGATTCTGGGAACAAAACACAACTGCATCCCGGTGATACAGTTAACAAGATAAACGACCTCTTCTCAACCATAGGATCTAATCTCGCTAGTAAAATCCCAGGTACCAATGCCCATGCAAATGATTGCTTAGATGGGAACTTCCCTAACTACTCCTACCTTGCACCTACTGAGCCCACTGAAGTCACCACAATTATTAAGTCACTTTAATATAATTCAGGGAATCTGTCTCACGAGGGGCCCATGTCCTTTTGCATGCTATTTCATTATTTTTTAACAAGTCACTAGAGACTAGACTAGCACTTTCTCGACACTACTCAAGAAAGCAAGGGTTACTCCAATACATAAAGGTGGTAACCCCACAGATGTAAACAACTATAGGCCAATATCAAACTTACCATTGCTATCCAAAATCTTCAAGAAACTCGTGCACAAGAGATTGTATTCATTTATAACAGCACAAAACATACTCAACCCCTGCCAATTTGGCTTCAGAAAAATAAAAGCACTAATGATGCAACTGTAAAAATGCTACATCTGTTTTACACAGCACTGGAAAATAAGGAATATCCATTATGACTTAACTGACCTAAGAAAAGCTTTTGACACAGATCACGGCATCCTACTCCACAAACTTGATTATATGTATTATGGTATAAGAGGCCATGCACTTGCATATTTCAAATCCTACCTTACTAATAGGTATCAGTATGTCACCATTAAACACACAACCTTATCAACACAGCCACTTGATACTGGAGTACCACAGGGAAGTGTCCTTGGTCCCCTGCTCTTCCTCTTATATATCAATGATCTTCCCAACATATCACAATACCTGAAACCCATTCTCTTTGCTGACGACACGACTTCTGTTGTCTCCCGCCCAAATCTTGCCACCCTCAACACCAGTGTTAACGAGGAGCTACTCAAAATATCTACTTGGATGACAGCCAATAAACTTGCACTTGACACTGACATAACCTTCTATATTATGTTTGGTAACAGAGCAGGTGATGCACAACTTAACTTTAAGATTGACAACACTCTTATTGCCAGACATGATGAGGGCAAATTCCTAAGCCTGCACCTCACTCAACAGCAACCTGAATTTCATCCCCCATATCTAACACAACAAAAAAAGTATCCAAAATGGTTGGGATCCTCTCCAAGATAAGTTACTACTTGCCACAATCCGCCCTTCTCACATTATACCATTCACTCATTTATCCCTACCTCACCTATGCTATTTGTGCTTGGGGAGCAACTGCAGCAATACACCTAAAGTCAATAATAACCCAACAAAAGGCCGCAGTAAGAATAATCATGCAATCCAATCCCAGGCAATGCACCCCGCCCCCCCCCCCCACTCTTCATAGATCTAAACTTACTCGCTGTTCAGAACATTTCCACTTACTACTGTGCAGCCTATATTTACAGAACCTTAAATTCCAATATTAACCCTGACCTGAAACACTTTCCTGATAGTTGTGACAGGACCCACAGGCATAACACCAGACACAAACATCTCGATGACATTCCCCCTGTCCGGCTAAACCTATAAAAGGGCCTAAAATCTGGAACACCCTACCTGAAAACTCTAGAACTGCAGACACATTCATCACTTTCAAAACTATCGTTAGAAAACATCTTATCTCCCTGACACACACCACCGTCAGCTAACTACATGAAAACCGCCTATTCATAAGAACATAAGAAAGGAACACTGCAGCAGGCCTGTTGGCCCATACTAGTCAGGTCCTTTACAATTCATCCCACTAACAAAACATTTGCCCAACCCAATTTTCAATGCTACCCAAGAAATAAGCTCTGATGTGCAAGTCCCACTCAAATCCAACCCCTCCCACTCATGTACTTATCCAACCTAAATTTGAAACTGCCCAAAGTCCTATCCTTAATAACCCAACTAGGTAGACTGTTCCACTCATCAACTACCCTATTTCCAAACCAATACTTTCCTATGTCCTTTCTAAATCTAAACTTGTCTAACTTAAATCCATTACTGCGGGTTCTCTCTTGGAGAGATATCCTCAAGACCTTATTAATATCCAACTTCAAGAAACTGTACACAAAAAGCTATGTTTGAAAGGTGCTTTGTAGTGACCTCAGAAACTCAACTGACTAAGAGAGCTTTGGAAAGATCACTTTAGCATCCTCAATTGTGTAAACATTATAGGTAAGGCTTGGGAGGAAGTGACTAAGAGGACCTTGAACTCTGCTTGGAAAAAACTGTGGCCAGAATGTGTAGACAAAAGGGATTCTGAAGGGTTTGAGGCTAACCCTGAGAATCCTAAGCCAGTTGAGGAATCCATTGTGGCATTGGGGAAGTCCTTGGGGTTGGAGGTTAGTGGGGAGGATGTGGAAGAGTTGGTGGAGGAGGACAATGAAGAACTAACCACTGATGAGCTGCTAGATCATCTTCATCAGCATGAGGCCACACCTGAGGAAACTGCTTCGGAGGAGGGGATAGAGAAATTGAAGAAGTTGCCTACTTCTAAGATTAAGGAAATCTGTGCAATGTGGCTTAAAGTGCAAACCTTTATGGACGATAATCACCCTGACACAGCTATTGCAAGCCGTGTTGGCAACCTGTACACTGACAATGTTGTGAAACACTTTAGAAATGTTATAAAGGAACGGGAGGTACAGGCCTCTATGGACAGATATGTTGTGCGACAGAAGTCCAGTGACTCTGAAGCTGGTCCTAGTGGCATTAAAAGAACAAGGGAAGTAACCCCGGAAAAAGACTTGCTACCTCAAGTTCTAATGGAAGGGGATTCCCTTTCTAAACACCAAGAAGATCAACACTCCCCTCCTCCCATCCCATCAATCATCACCAGATCTTCAATAAAGGTAAGTGTCATGTAACTGTGCATGTCTTCTTCAGTTTGTGTGTATTAAAATTAATATTTCACGTGGTAAATTTTTTTTTTCAATACTTTGGGGTGTCCTGCACGGATTAATTTGATTTCCATTATTTCTTATGGGGAAAATTAACTCGACTAACGATAATTTCGATTAACGATGAGCTCTCAGGAACGGATTAATATCGCTGGTCGAGGGTCCACTGTATATATACGTCAAACACGGTACCTCGTAAGACATATATATACGGCCGCGACAGTCAAAGGGTTAAGTATTAACTAAAGTCTCCCCGAAATGCCTTGGCATGATAGTGGCTTTCTTTGTA